GCTCCTGTCATTTCAGTCCTGCTGTTGTCTTTATGTGTGCCATATGTGATTGCTGCCGGGGTGGTACCGGCTGTAGGTGAGTATCTCTCTGCATATGGATCTTAAGGCGTCACTTGAAGAGTTTCCTAACCAAACTAGGACTTTCTCATTGACAATATACAGCACATTGCAGTCTTAGTGGCAAAAGAAATGGAAATTACTAACAGTTTTCTATAGATTTAAGCTTTTTGTGAGTTCAGCAATAAACCAGGGGGGGGGGAATTTTTTAAAGGATGAAATTATAACCTCCGCACTCTGTCTCACTTCCCGTTATTTTCTAAAATCACAACATTTCGGTCCAACCGACCATCATCAGTTACAAAAAACGATGTGTACAGTCGTGGCCAAAGGTTTTGTCAGTGACACAAATATTAGTTTTTGCAAAGTTTGCTGCTTCAGTGTTTCTGTGACGTATTGAAGTATAATTGCAAGCACTTCATAAGTTTCAAAGGCTTTTATTGACAATTACATCACATTTATGCAAAGAGTCAATATTTGTAGTATTGGCCCTTCTTTTTCAAGACCTCTGCAATTTTTCCTGGCGTGCTGTCAATCAACTTCTGGGCCAAGGCCAACAATGGCAACCCATTCTTTCATAATCAATGCTTGGAGTTCGTTTGTCCACCCGCTTCTTGAGGATTGACCACAAATTCTCAATTGGATTAAGGTCTGGGGAGTTTCCTGGCAATGGACCCAAAATTTCAGTGTTTTGTTCCCAGCACCACTTAGTTATTACTTTGGCCTCATGGCACCGTGCTCCATCATGCTGGAAAAGGCATTGTTCTTCACCAAACTGTCCTTGGATAGTTGGAAGAAATTGCTGTCGGAGGATGTTTTGGTTTGGCAAAATTGTGAGTGACCCCACTCTCTTGAATGAGAAGCAGCCCCACAGATAAATGGTCTCAGGGCATGGTAGCCTCACTTTTTTTTTTTCTCCAGGCTTTTTTCCAGATGTATTTTTTGCAGAATATCAGTCTGTCCCTAATGGGTTTTTTTTGTTTGTTTGTTTTGGGGGGGTTTTGGAGAGAAGTGGCTTCTTTGCTGCCCTTCTTGACACCAGGCCATGTTCCAAAAGTCTTCGCCTCACTGTGCGTGCAGACTTGCACTCACACTTGCCTGCTGCCATTCCTGAGCAAGCTCTGCACTGGTTGCACTCCGATCCCGCAGCTGAATCATCTTTAGGAGATGGTCCTGGAGCTTGCTGGACTTTCTTGGGCACCCTGAAGCCTTCTTCACAACAATTGAGCCTCTTTCCTGAAGTTCTTGATGATCCGATAAACGGTTGATTTATGTGCAATCTTAATAGCAACAACATCCTTGCCTGTGAAGCCCTTTTTATGCAACACAATGATGGCTGCATGGGGTTTTTTGTTTTGTTTCTGTTTTCTTTTTTGCAGGTAACCATGGTTAACAGGAAGAACGATGATTTCAAGCATCACCCTCCTTTTAACACATCCAGTCTGCTATTCTAACTTAATAGGCAAGACATAAAGATCTCAAGTTCTGTGCTCATCAACATTCTCACCTGAGTTAACTAGAAGAGTGAAATGATCTCTGCAGGGTCTTTTATGGCAGCAATAAAATGCAGTGGAAATGTTTTTTGGGGGTTAAGTTCGTTTTCATGGCAAAGAAGGACTTTTCATAACATTCAGAGTATATGGAAACTGCTATCATAAAAACAGAAGGAGCAAACTTTGTGGAAACCATTACTTGTGTCATTCTCAAAACGTATGGCCACGACTGTACACAATCACTCACACACAATAATATGTTCTCTCCCATTCATCAAGTAGAATTCAATCATCCAATCAGGGAACACTTTACACATTTTTACACATGGATGCTATTAATTAGATAATGAAACTAATAAATGCACTGGTTTTGTAATAAAAGCCTCCCCCCAAAAAAAGTGGCAGATTGTGAGCTACCTTCTGATTTCTTGGGCACTGAACTGGTGATAAATCTGCCACTTGGACTTGTTATTGGAGATGTACCGTCACTAGGTAATAATTCTAATATAGTTAACACCCAATTTAACATAACGGGTGTCCCCAAAATATCACATTTCTTCTCATCTTGATGGAGTTAATGATAGGAATAATGGGAACTCTTGAAAAATCATATAACTGAATACAATTATGCTTTGTTTTTGCAGGCGTTACCCCAGAGATGGAGATTCTAATGCAGAGGAGAATCTACCCCTTCCTCTTGATGGTCGTCTCACTTATCGGCATCCTCTCCTTTCAGATCCGACAGTTTAAACGTCTTTATGAACACATCAAGAACGACAAGTACGAAACTTTCAGCACTGATCAGTCTGGAGAAAGCAGCATGTTTTTTCTTGTTGTTTTTTTAATAAAGTTTGTCTTATATTGACAACCTACCCCCCTTTTTCTTTTTCAAATGTATCATTCGGTGCATCATTATAAAAACAAACTGCAGATTTAATATAGGAGGTTAAACACATTGTTCAGACTTTTAGCTATAGTTGAATATTTTTGGATTATTGTTTCATACTGTGTGTGTGTAGCCTTCAAATTAGAGTTAAGTCCATAAAAATGAATAGTAATAATGCTGTAATAATCTGTCTTTGCAGGTACCTGGTCGGCCAGAGGCTTGTCAACTACGAACGCAAAGCTGGCAGAGGAAGCTCAATCCCACCCTCCAACCCTGTCGTAGAATAAATATTTGTGTCACATGATGCCATGTTTGGGTTTTTTGTTTGGTTTTTTTTTTTAACCCATGACCCTGCGCACATCTCGTCCAGCCCATGGCCTGTCTGTTTTTCTGTTGTTTTTTTGGGGGGTTCAGCTCAACCCTCAGACTGTAATCCTTGAAATCACCTGTGATTATTGCTGGACTTTATGGGTGTTACTCAAATTCATTTCATCAAAGTCAGGATGGGTAAACTTAGTGTAATAACTGGACAGCTGAGTAATCCCCTCAAACAAACAAAATAGGCAGGAGCATTAAAATTTTCATTTGAAGCCCAACATCTGTATTGAGATTCATGCCTTGCTTTATAAAGTGCTGCCTGATTTAAATGTACATGTGTAAATACTTTGGAAGGAGACTTTGTCTTAAAGGACCGATGTAGATTAATGCAATGACCATTGTACATCTTAAAAGTGTATGTATAATTTATTAAATCAGAATGACAGTTTATTTTCTGTTGCATCTTTTCTTACGGCAGATCAGTGTCTGCGATTGATTAACAAGTAGATCTGGGTTTTATCAAAGGTAGAGACTTTTCTGACTTGTTTAAAATAATGTATAAATTGCTTTGCTCAGACCTCAGTGATTAGATGAATTTAAAAAGAAAAGCCATTGGACCTAATCTTAGAGTATTCACACATTTTGTTGTTATGGAGCCATAAGACGTATGAATTTATCCCATATAACTGTGCATGTGTTTAATATGTGATTAGAGGTGGTGTGATTTTCTCATCCTTTGCTATGAGCGTGGATTTAAGTACAATTCCAAACTTTTCCTTTAGAACACCAGGAATCTCTTCATCTTTAAGTTCTGTGATGGTTTCCACCACATGCCCGTTCTCTTCTGTTGGGAATGTGGTGGTGATCAATCTGTGGCCTATATAGGTGAGCCTCCCACCAGGTCTCAGAACAGTGCAGAGGGACTTGCAGAAGAAGATGGAGCTGGGGGAGGTCTGGTGGTATTGGCACATCTCAGTGAAGTCCTCCTTACTCCGACGTTTAAGGGTGAACTTGTAGATCTCTTTCCAGTCTCCATCTATTCCTCTGTTTTCTTCCTCTTGCCACTCCACAAAGTGCATCTCCAGGTCCTTCCTGATCCGGTACACTCGGTGGCCCTGCTCCTGGGGGTCTTCAGTGTCCAGTGACAGCGGGACACTGAAACCGGAAACCCCGAACCCGACGTCACACAGCCATCGCCGGCCCTCAAGTTCAACCAGTAGGATGAAATGGTCGAAAGGTGGCCCGTAGCAACCCGTGAACCTGTTCTTCACCTGGCCTGAGAGTATATTCACCTGGAAGCCCAGTTCGGTCAGAAGCCAGCGAAAGAGGCTGTTGTTCTCATAGCAGAAGCCTCCTCGGCGATGGTTCACGATCTTGTCGTACAGAAGTGGGAGGTCGAGCTGGACTCGACCCCCGCTGTGCACCGTGAGGTCCTCAAACGGCACCGACAGGAGGTGGCAGGTGTGCAACGTCCGCATCACCTCCAGGCTGGGCTCCGCGGGGCCCGTAAACCCGATGCGAGCTAAATATTTCCCCAAGTCCATTTCCACGGAAGTCATTTTCGCTTCTGGTTATGGCGTTACTATATACTTAAAGCAGATTTATTCCCGTTTTTCACTTTGTGTTTCTGTCCGGCTGTGCGCAATATGGCGTATTCAAGGAAGTTCAAAGTACAATGCCTACTTTAAAAACAAAACACAAAAAAAAACTTATTAAAATCCAACCTAAATAAAACTCACTGCTTTTTATTTCAAAATGCATTTGAAAAAAAAAAACCCAACGGATCAGAAATGTGTTAGTGTTATGAAGCAAAGTGCGATTAAACGATGAAAAGATTTAATGTTTTTAATTTAAAAAGTATGTCGAGTATTTAGTATTTTCTAAGAATTACGGGTAAATAAATAGTATAATTACAATTAAACCACTTTATTATTGCCAACGTATTCATCTTAAGGTTTATTTTTCTACATTATTTAAAATCCATAATTCTTTATACAGAGATACATTTGGACACGTAGACAGCAGGAAATATATCGATTTAGTCTACATTACTAGGGTTTGCCGTGCTACATGTTATACAACCGTGATAACCTAGCTGGGCTTGGTGCCTTTGTTGTATTTTATGTTTTATACTGAAGCACTATACTTGGTTTCCTGGTCGTATATCATCGCTCGGCTCACCTCCCTGTTTCACATTTTTTGTTATCGTGACGTCACCCGTCGACACTCCCTTCTCCACAGTAGAGGGGGAAAGATGGCGCCCACACACGTACTGAGATGCTGTCAACGGGGCTTAGCATGGATACCTGTGATTTTTATCGCGCTCGTCGTCTGCTGGTCGTACTACGCTTACGTGGTGGAGCTTTGTATATGTAAGTAGAGACCTTGTCGTCGTTTGTCGCTTCTTTTAGGGCCTTTAAAAGCCGGTGCTAACCATATTTTCTGACAACACACACAAACACAGCGGCGGCTGCTGGCCAGCAGGAAGTAAATGAACTGCAGCCCAACAAAGGTGTTGGCAAACCCGTCCAAATCTAGATCCAGCTAATTTTATGTTGGTTGCCATCGCCTGGGTTGCCATATATTCAAAAGAGGACTGTTTTAGTCAAAGAAAAACTAGCACTGTGCTGTCTTTTTTATGATAAAGCTACCCGTCTCGTCTCTGTGGTTTTATGTGAAATTAAATGAGTGTGGATGGAGAAATAAACGGTATTTGACTGACTGACACATATAAATACCACACAACATGGCTCTTTTAATTAAACTGGCTTAAGGCAATAGTTGCGGATTGTCCCTCCCCAAAAAAATATACATAAATTCATGTAAGGTTGTGTCTAAGTGCTGTAATTCAGCTGTGAAAAATTCAACATGTGTATTTTTATTAGTCAGCTCCTAAAACTTAATCTTTGTTAACTATTTGGAAATGGAAAAAAGGTACACTTAACAACATTGTGTAGGAGATTAATGGGGAAATATAAAAGATTACATGGCTGCTGTGCTCGTGAGGTGTGACTATGTATTTATTTATTTATTTATTATTAGATAAACGACCAGGTGAAAGTTTCTACTGGTTTTCTTTTGGTTTTTATCAGATATGTTGGCGTAAATATGGGAACTGGTTACACGCATAGGGGAAAACTTTTTTTCTTAATTAAGGGGGCAGGGGGCGGTAGTTAATTAATTTCTGATATGGATAACTGTAAAACATGCCAACCCTTTAATTAATTCGTTACTCATGTACAGTATCAGTATTTTGAAAAGCATGCTTTGTAGAAGTGAATACAGTGTGGATAAATGATATGGTTGTTTCCACCATAATGTATAAACGTTTATCAGTATATATAATATCTGACATATATTGTCTGTGTTTTCTCTTTGCAGTCACGATCCCCAGCATAGGAGAGCAGAGTAAGTGTCCCAGGACATCAAACAATGTTTGTTTAATAAATCGTAAATGGAGTTTTACTGAGCTGAGACTTATTTATTGGCATAATCTTACTTAAGTTTCTGGAAAAGTACTCTGTAGACTTGGCTTTTTAAAGAAAAGGCTGGCACAGAAATTGTGTTTCCTCTCAAAGCGCTGAGGTTGGCCTGCTTGTAGCCCAGCAGCTCCTCCTCATCCAGCATAAACTACTAGCTTTCCTCTCTAATTAATTAACGGCGTAGTTTTTTTTTTTTTGCTCTTAAGCCATGTTTTGCCTTACAGTGGCATTTCCTTATATAACCCACATATCAGTGCGTATGTCCTTGATCCTGATGCTCAGTTTCCCCCCTCCAGTTGTCTACCTGATCTTCTTCCACCTCTCATTCGTCATGTTTGTGTGGTCTTACTGGAAGACCATCTTCACCAAGCCTGCTAACCCTTCCAAAGAGGTATAACACTAATCCAATCCTCCAAAACAAAACAAGCCTGCTCTGTCTGCCTGTGTGTAATCCCCTGCTGCAGTAAATGGCAGCTTAAAAAAGGTATTTTGCTCCCTTCCCTCCAGTTTTGCCTCCCCAAGGCTGAAAAGGAACGCTATGAGAAGGAGGAGAGGCCAGAGTCCCAGCAAGAGATCCTGTGGAGAGCTGCCAGCAGCCTCCCTCTGTACACCCGCACAGGCGCTGGCGGTACGTCTGTGTCACTGAATGTAAATGAGAATGAATCTGTTCTGTTTGGAATTGTGTCATCATGATGATTGTTGTGCTAATTTATTGCAGCGATCCGCTACTGTGACCGCTGTCAAGTTATCAAGCCAGACAGATGTCATCACTGCTCAGCATGTGACATGTAAGGGAATCTTCTTTCCTTAAATTTCTTCTCTTACTCTTCAGTTTTTTAAAGTTAATCTTTTGTTTTAATTATTTTTTTTGGCAGGTGTGTGCTAAAGATGGATCATCACTGTCCCTGGTATGTAAGAGCCACATCCTGTTGGTGCATTGAGTTAGTTAACCAAGAATAAAGTGCTTTCTAGACAGAAGTTCATTTTACTTTGTTCTCACGCTTTATAACTAACATACCTTAAATTACGACACGTTGCTACACCTTTTCAGAAACTGCTTGATGATGCCATTTGTTTGGTGCTACCTCACCAGTAGCCTCCACCTTATGCAAACTTTGATAAGGTTTCTGCACCAGAAAGGAAGCTGCATCCAAATGTGGTGTTTGTGTGTCTGCAGGGTGAACAACTGTGTGGGATTCTCCAACTACAAGTTTTTCATCCTCTTCCTGGCCTACTCGCTGGTGTACTGTTTGTTCATTGCAGCCACCGTCCTGCAGTATTTCATTAAATTCTGGACAGTGAGTAACGACGCGCCGACACGCTATGCCCACTCGCCCCACAGCATGGAGTGAATGTGTGACACAGATGCAGAATCGGGTGGCACGTCATAGCCAGGATGAGCATCTCTTGAGTTGGCTGTGCATGGCGCTGACCTCTCCTGTGCTGCGCTGTGCCGCTCCTCTGTTTTCTCTGTCCTCTCTCACCCTTCACCCTCTGACCGGTCCCCGCCCTACCCCTCTGTTTCCCCTTTCTGTTATCCCCAGTTCTCGCACACTGGCTCATTGTTCTCGGATCTTTTCTCTTTTTCTGCCTCCCTTTCCACTATCGGAGCCATCAGTCACACCACTCATGTGCCCGCAGACACCTCCTTTCTCTCTCTCTCTCTCTCTCTCGTAGCTGTTTCACTTCAATTTTCTCTCATCTCTTCCTCTTTTATCCCTTTGTTTCTTGCCAGTCCGGGCACAGTTTTCTTTCAACCCACTCTCTTTCATTCACCTCCCCCGCAGCTCCCCACTTTTCCACCCAACTTGGCCTTGACTTCTATTTGCCTCCTGATTTCTAAGTGCTCTCCCCTCCCGTCTGTTCTCTCCTGGTGTTGCTAACCACTCTTGTTTCTGTTTGAACTAAAGCTTTGCCGCAGGAAATCGGCAGAAAACTGCCCAAAGGTAACGCAGCCATCCTCCGATGCCTCCCCCCTCCCCCACCGTCCTCGCCGTTGTTTTCGTGATGTGCATGAAAGTGAAGTGGCTCACATGAGACTTTTTTGAAAGTCATTTCTCTGCCTTTTTTTTTCTTTTTGTTTATATCAGCTCTCTGTCATTGCTCTTGCATTTCCAGAAATATCTCTGATGTGAATTTGTTATTGATGGCTGCCTGACTCTCCTCTTCTCCCGTCTCTCCCCCTAGAATGAGCTGACAGACACGCCTGCCAAATTCCACGTCTTGTTTCTTTTTTTTGTGGCCGCCATGTTCTGCATCAGTATTTTGTCCCTCTTCAGCTACCACCTTTGGCTAGTAGGGAAGAACAGGTCGACAATAGGTATCGTTTTCCTTGTATTTAATATCTAGCAGTGATTTCAAATATTCTAACAGTTTGTCAAGTTGAATGTCATTTTTTTGTCATCATTATCACTGGAATAACTTTGCTGCTAGGGACGGAGTTTTGTTCCCCTCCTTTAGTGTTTGTCTAACAGTTCTCTTTCCCCTCTGTCTGCCTTTTCTCTTTTCATTTTCCTCTTACCCTGCAGAGGCATTCAGAGCACCAGTCTTTAGGACAGGCTCTGATAAAAATGGTTTCTCTCTGGGTTTCCGAAAGAATATTGCTCAGGTCTTTGGTGACCAGAAGAAGTACTGGCTGCTGCCCGTCTTCACAAGGTAAAAAAAAAAAGAGAGCGAGAAAAACTTTCACAGAGAGAGAGAGACAAACATTAAAAGGAGTGTTGTGGTTTGCCGTACACACAAAAGATTCCCGGGAGGAGACAAAACCCAAGCCTCTGAAGGTAACAAGCTAGTGTATTCCTAGCGCAGATCCCAAGCCCAGATAAATGAGTTGCATCAGAAAGGGTATCCAGTGTAAAGTGTGTGCTAAATCATGTGTACTTCCATCTGCCATGCCGATCGCTTGAGAAATAAGGGAAATATCCAGGAGTATCTTTCAGACAGAGGAGATCTAAAGCCCCTTTTCCATTAGTACTTAATCAGATTGACTCACCACAGTGCGCCCCGATTTTCAGAGTTTTCCATTAGGTCATAGTACCAGATACTAAAATAGTACCTGCTCAGCCGAGGTTCTAAACAAACAGCAGGTACTAAAATGTGACGTTGTCAGACTGGATGCCACCGATTGGATGGTCAATGGCGTCAAAAGACGAGTCATGAGAGTGTATTGTTACCAAAACCTGAAACCGACATTTTTGAAACCTGGCAAAGTTGTTGCCTTTGTGTTGCATACTAATTAAGTCACAGGACCCTCGGCCACGTTGCTATGACAACAACCACAAACATTTAGTGGTACTTGATTGTAATGGAAAAACCAGTCAGTCTGAGTCGTGGTGAGTCGATCTGAGTAGGTACTAACGGAAAAGATGCACAACAGAACCAGGAAGACCAGGATTTCTGTGTTAAATAAACAAAACCTGAAGAATCTGGTATAATTGTTTAAATACTGAAGTAAAAGCTAAAGCTGTGATGTTATTCTTTTACATATAAGCCTAACTTTGTTGCAGCATAGACTATATGGGTTTGAAAAGTGAATCTAGAGTGTCTTAAACCTGCATTCTTTTTTTAATGGGCAGCAGGGGGCAGCAACTCACGTTGCTTGTTGTTGGGTTTTTTTGTTTTTTAATAGAAGTCTGTAACAAAATGTCTAAGTGTTTTCCAGATTAAGTTATGGCTACACGTGCTAATTTCAAGCCATATTTAATACAAAATAATGCTTTTTTTGTATTAAATACTTTCACATTAGAGTACGAAAATAAAATAAAGCAGGCTCCACCTATCACTTGTTGCATCTGGTTTATAAAGTACAAGTGGCAGATGCTAAAGTCGAGTCTTTAAAACAGCAGTCTGCAGAACAGTTTGTAACATTATGGTGTCCATCTTTTATATACAGTCTGTGGTTGCAGCAGCTCCTGAGGAAGTTCAGCTTCACGTTTTTGTTTTTT